TGTATCCTCTGCACTGTGTATACTTTTGTTGCTATCTTTTTCCTTCTTTTTTTTTTCCTATTTTTTGCTTTTTCCTGTCTTTTTCCAACAAGATAAGTAACTAATGACCTATTTGTCCCCATGTCCCAATGCCATGGTGTGAAACTATATTCACAAATCCCCAGACTTAAACATATTCTTGCTGTGTGTTTCCTTTCTGGAATGAGAGTGTAATAACATAGCTTGTTTAGCTTTTGCTGGTTTTAACAGCAGGCAGAAGAAAGCTTTTCTTAATATTTTTGTAGTAACGGTCCATTTTTAATAGCCTTGTGTTCTCTACAAGACTAAAAATAGTAGTCAGAGTAAGCATCCTTCTGGACTGTGTTTGTAGAATTGAACAAATGGTTGATATTACCAGTTGGTAACATATGACGCCAACATTAAAGTACCGGCATATATTAGCTGTAACCCTGTTTTGTGAGTGATCACTCTATAATGCTTTCATCGAGTATTCACATACTCGATTCTGTTAAAATCTCTTGCCACCTTTGATTCAATGCCAGATTTTTTTTTAGCCTTTTCCTTCCTTACTCAGTTTTAAAATGCAGCCTATGGCAGTAAGACTTAAATATTCTTGAGGCCCGAAGGTACTGTCACGCTTTAAACAGTGTCAAAGCATCAAAATTACCTGAGGGCTCAACCCAAGCCTTCCCGCCATCTGGTTTGGCCAGTCCCGCTGCCGTTTGCAATTCAACTATGAGTTCAGTGAAAGGGAACATTTATTTTAAGCCTTATTGCCAGGGGGATACAGAGACAAAAACCCACATTTTACAGACAAGCCAAACAGACAAATCCCTTTTCAAATTGTTTAGAGTATTTGAGGAATACCTCTTACTGCTTGCCTTTTCTTCTGGCTGTGGTACAGGTTTGTACACCCTGAAAGTAACACCTGTTTCCTCCAGTTTTAGTTTACGTACATGTAGAAAATTAAGGATAGAGTTTACTAAATACAAAAATCTGCTCGTTTTCAGTTGCAGTTCCCATTAAAAAGAGGACTGATGCACCTGAATACCAGCTCAGTTAACAGTGTTTGACAGCAACAGTGAAGCTGTGAGTTTATAAGATTTCATAAGGCAAAAGGTCTCAGCACTGGTGTAAGATGTGGTCTTCACAGAGGGAAGATGTGTCCGGTCGAGGGAGCTGGACGGTGCAGGACCTAACCACTACGCGGGCACTAAGTCAGCAGTATCAGTGCTGTTCCATTGCCTGTTGTTTCCTAAATGTGACTGAAAACCCAAAAACTATTTGATTTTTTAAGAAGTCAATGCCACACAAGGAATCAGCTGGCACGCTCCTGTCTGTTTAATTATAATCTGTTTCAACAGAACTTTCTCACAGCTTTGGCTGTTAGTTTTGACCATTTCATGCAAAGAACTGTTGTGTGCAGGATGGCTGTCCAGAACTGACTGTGTTTGGGACAAATGAGTTGAGTTGGGTATGTGTGTGCACCCTGTACTGTAGCTTGTAACTCAGCTGAAGTATGCACTCATAAAATAACCAGTGGGATATACCGAGTTTTGGCTAGTTGTTACTGATTTCATCAGTTTCCAGAGGGTGGCAAACTATATGACACATGGATGTTCAGCAGTTTCTTAGGCATTAGCGTTCTTCCTGGCTGTATGGTTGTCGATCTTTTTATTTAGATTGTGAGACTGCAGTTCATACGTCTGCAGATTTTAGCCAAGTGAGCAATGCTAGCCAAACTGTGCTAGATCAAACCTCCGAACAAGGTGTTCTGGCACGTGGAGACATTTTACTGCCAGGGTCAGGTTAGAATCCTGTTCTGCAGGACTAAGCTGCACATCTCCGTGTGATTTCCATGTAATCCCTAGGATAAGAATGTGTATTTACTGTGAATCCTCAAAGAGCTCAGTCAGAGATGAAGGTTTCCAACCTGCTAGATGCTGTGCAGACCTGCAATCACTCTTCTGGTCTCTCAGTATCACCCCATCCTTCCCTTTAATTTTTCTTCAGCTTTTATTTAGTCATAACTTCCTTTGACTCCAGATGAAGTGTGCAGACTTCAGGGCAGCTGGATGAGATGGGACGGGATGGGATAGCACGCTAAATACACGAAACAGATATGAGCACAGACTTGACAGGGGACCCTCTTTTTGCCATCTCTTGCAGTTTATTTCCAGATGTCTTCATGTGGAGGCACTGTCCAGTTTTCCCCTTCTGAAAGCAATTTCTGATGATATATAGAATCAAAGAATAGTTTGGGCTGGAAGGGACCTTTAAAGGCCATTTACTCCAACCCCCTTGCCATGACTAAGGACATGTACCACTAGATCAGGTTACTCAGAGCCCTGTCCAACCTGGCCTTGAATGTTCCCAGAGATGGGGCAACTACCACCTCTCTGGGCAGCCCGTTCCAGTGTTTCACCACCCTCATTGTAAAAAATTTCTTCCCTATATCCAGTCTAAATCTACCCTCTTTTAGTTTAAAACCATTAGCCCTTGTACTATCGCAGCAGGCCTTGCTAAACAGCCTGTCCCCAGCTTTCTTATAAGCCCCCTTTAAGTATTAAAAGGCCACAATAAGGTCTCCAAAGGCTAGTTTGGATTATTTTTTATAATTATATTTATTATTATAATTATTTGCCTAATAATGTATGCAACCTGTTGCCATGGTTTTTCATGCTGCCACAGGGATGGAGCTCTAGCTCTTGAGTCTTAGTACAGTGGTGCTACTGTTTCTGCTGAGAGCTTTCTCTTCTAACATGCAGTAAAAAGTTAAAGGTTAAAATAAATTTAAAATACATTCAAGGGAAAATTCACCACATGTACTTGACTGTCAGGGTTTGAGTATTTTTTTTTCCCCTTTTCTTAGTGCTGAGGCATATTACAGATTTTTATGGTTTTGAGCATGATCCAGCATTGATACTGTAGCTCTGGAGGAGTGCCAGCCGGGAGGCTTACAGAATATCAAGTTTTATACCATCTTATGTAATGTTTATGCGGGTGGGATATGACATATTGAAATTCAATTTATTGAAATTATATTCATACTGCCGTGCTGCCAGTGGGGCTGAAATAGCTGTGTTTTGTGGCGTTCCTGCTCACCCAGACTCAGACACTCAGGGAAGATAGGTTTGCATTAATGTTTTTGTCTTCTGCGCCTGTTTTCACTGGTGAACTGGTACAATTACATTAAGTGCCTATGTTGTGCAGCCATAGGCATGTGAATAAATCGGGGAAGGGGTCTGAGTTCTTAAAAATAGTGGAAATCCGGTTTGCATTGCTGGTTTAGGAACCTGCCTTTAGACAAGGTTTATTTTCTCTTCAGAAAAGGAGGTATCTATTTCTTTCATTAATCCTTCATTGTAAATCTCACGTTACAACAATGCACAGAAACCGCTCTACATGAGTTACGTCTTTTTGATTTTGTCAGTCTAATTCAATCAGAGTGGATACACTTACATCTGTATAAAGCTACCCTGTACAATACAGATTTTTCCTGTCTAAGAGACAGAAAGAAAAACATGTTCGCTCTGAGGTCACTCTCTTGCCATGTGAGAGGTTGGTCATACCAGTACCACCATTTTGGGGGAACGATGTGCGAGGGGAACCACTCTCCTAGCGAAAGTAGTACTTGCAGTGGAAAAAAAAACAAAAAAAAAAAATCAATGTCAAGACCAAACTATATGTGTATATAGTTGTAGCTTTTTAAAGTGCATTTGCTACTTGAAGCTATTTCATCTCAAAGAAAAAATCATTTTTGTATATGAGAATTTTTTACTGTAGAGGCTGCCATTTCTGATGAAGCTGTCCCCCTTTTTTGGCTGGGCGTTTGCCGTCTTACCTCATGCATCTTAACAGCCTCCTGAACAACAGCGAGAAGTTTGATATACATTGCTTGTGGTGATATTGAGCCTTCTTCATTATAGTAACCTACCGTAGAGCATCCAGTTCACAGTTATGGTCAGAGGACTGCAGAGAAAGTCCCCTTTTGGACTAATTCTTGCTTAGCCATAAAGCAGGTGGTAGTAAAGTGTTATTTTTGTTTACTGTGGACAAAACAAGAACAAATGGGTCTATATGGCAAAAAAAAAAAGGCAAATTAGGCTAGACAGGAGAGAAGCCTTTCTTGCTGGCAGAGATGGTTAAGCCCTGAAATAGGTGGTGTGGTACATCCATTAAGGATTTTTAAGGCAGGTCAGACAGTTTTCAAGAATGGTTTGAGAAGACTAAATCCTACCCTGGACAAGGAGAGGAAAGCAGGTAATCTTTTCTCCATGAGACCAATTTCCTCTGAATTTTTTTATAGCAATTATGATGCCACTTAATGATTATTGTAACTAGCTGTGTTGTTCCTGTGCATTTTGTTGTTAAGTTCCCATATGTGATTCATTTTGCTCTTGCAGCACGTGCAGCAAGGTAATCATGATAACAGAATTTGATAATATAGAAAGGAAAAAAAATATGCCTCTACTCAAGAGAGAACTAAAATTCTGAAGGGCAATTCTTACATCTTTATTTTTGTTTTTCTGTAGACAGGATTCTCAGGTGTCTGTGACACATCTGTTTGTAACATTATTGCGTAACATGTTGGAAAACACTGAAAAAATATTCCAGCTTTATTTTTTTCTTTAAAATTTCAAAAATCCGTTACAGGATTCAGCTTTTCAGTTAACAAGATTATTCAGTAAAAAAAAAAAATTATTTAGACAACATTCCAATTGAAATAGACTGAAGAATTCTTACACATACTTCATTTATGCTTTGGAAATTTGTCAATTTAAGAAGCCTAACCTATCTGCCATTCTTAAGCTCATCACATTGTCTAAAATCAATTTAGCAAGAAGATACTTAGGCAGTGCTTTGAAGCATCCCTACATAAATATTGCCATGCCATTCTGTGCTTGGGATTATGTTACTTACTGAATTATTGCTACTCATTTTTTGCCAGTATAATCAATAAAAGTGACACTGAGAAATGTGATCTTCCTTCTCTGCAGGCCAGCTTTGGGTGGTCTCCTTACATCATCTTTTCGGCAGCACCAGGAGTCCTTGGCAGCAGAAAGAGAAAGACGACGTCAGGAGAGAGAAGAAAGGTTGCAAAGGATAGAACGCGAAGAAAGAAACAAATTCAAGTAGGAACCAAATTTGCTCTCAGTCTGTTGCTTTAATGTGTGATGGGTCTGTAAATCATTGAGACATTCAATTGCAAATAATTGAACTGATGAATAGTTTGTGGGTATCTTTAGATACCTTTCTTCATCTAAGTATCTTAAGATCTGATCTATTAAACACATCATGATGAATTTTGGCATTTAATAAACCAGCAATTTTTTCAAAGACAGCTACGTATTTGCCAGTTACACAGACTGGATATCTACAGAGGCCAGATTTCATTAGCTAATATACTCCTTCTCAAAGTATAATCTCAGTGAGGCATAGTGGTTGAAGATGAAACAGTGGGAGGAAGGTACTCAGGAAGGGAGGAAAGGAAAGCACTGAGACATCTTTTTTGCTTTGATGTTCTGCAAAGTAAAATTGTTTTCACAGAGTCACAGAATGTTCGGGGTTGGAAGGGACCTCTGAGGATCACCTAGTCCAACCTCCCCTGCTGAAGCAGGGTCACCTAGAACAGGCTGCACAGGACAGTGTCCAGCCGGGTCTTGAATATCTCCAGAGAAGGAGACTCCACAGCCCCTCTGGGCAGCCTGTTCCAGTGCTCCGTCACCCTCAGAGGGAAGAAGTTCTTCCTCATGTTCAGACAGAACTTCCCATGCTTCAGTTTGTGCCCGTTGCCCTTGTCCTGTCACTGGGCACCACTGAAAAGAGTCTGGCCCCATCCTCCTGACACCTACCCTGAAGATATTTATAAGCATTTAGAAGATCCCCTCTCAGCCTTCTCTTCGTCAGGCTGAACAAGCCCAGCTCCCTCAGCCTTTCCTCGTAGGAGAGATGCTCCAGTCCCCTCACCATCCTCATAGCCCTCCGCTGCACTCTCACCAGTAGCTCCTCATCTTTGTTGAACTGGGGAGCCCAGAACTGGATGCAGGACTCCCTATGGGGCCTCACTAGGGCAGAATAGAGGGGGAGGAGAACCTCCCTCGACCTGCTGGGCACACTCTTCTTGATGCACCCCAGGATCCCGTTGGCCTTCTCTCCAGCCTGTCCAGGTCTTGCTGAATGGCAGCACAGCCTTCCGGTGTATCCACCACTCCTCCCAGTTTTGTGTCATCAGCAAAGTTGCTGAGGGTACACTCTAACTCTTCATCCAGGTCATTGATGAGGAAGTTGAACCAGAATGGGCCCAGTACTGACCCCTGAGGGACACCACTAGTTACCAGCCTCCATCTAGAATCTGCGCCACTGACGACAACCCTCTGAGTTCTGCCATTCAGCCAGTTCTCAATCCACCTCACTGACCACTCATCCAGCCCACACTTCGTGAGCTTGCTTATGAGGATGTTATGGGAGACAGTGTCGAAAGCCTTGCTGAAGCTGAGGTAGACAACATGCACTGCTCTCCCTTCATCTGCCCATCATAGAAGGCTATCAGACTGGTCAAGCATGTTTCCCCTTGGTGAATCCGTGTTTACTACTCCTGATAACCTTCTTTTCCTCCACTTGCTAGACATGACATCCAGAATGAGTTGTTCCGTCACCTTCTTGTTCTCTTTGACATCTCTTGCCAGATTGAATTCAAGGTGAGCCTTAGCCTTCCCCATTGTTTCCTTCCATGCTCTGACAATGTTCCTGTATTCCTCCCAAGTGGTCTGTCCCTCTTTCCACATTCCATAGACGCTTCTCTTCCATTTGAGTTTCGCTAAAAGCTCCTTGCTAATTCATGCAGGTCTCCTGCCTCCTTTTTGAGGTCTCGGGATGAATGGTAGTGTTTTTAAACTGCACTTTTTCCTGCTTTTCTGAAAATGTCTCTCTTCCTCCTGGAAAAAGCAACTGACAGAAAATAATGATCAAAATTATTGCTCAAACTGTGACCAGACAAAGGCCCCAGCTGAATACAGGACTCTCCATTTTCACATCTGAGACTATGTGGTGCGTTGTGGGATCCCAGGGTGTGCTGCCTGAGGACAGTAAGAGGCAAGTCCTCTCCCCTTCTTAAATCCATGCCTGGAAATCCCAGCACAGGCATTAGCAATGACTGCAGTGGGCTTAGGGCAGAGAAGGTGCCTATACCTAAAGTGGTTTGCCTATTGTCTGAAGAGCATACACTAAGAAACCAGTTTGTTTCCTCATAAACAGGATGAAAACTAAACATATTTTTAGTAGTTAGAAGACATAATGTAGTAATCTGAAGAATGGTAGGATAAATGTTTCGTAGCCTTGGAGTTGGTAAATGGCACTGGTTTTCATGTGAGCTTGTTTATTAGTATGCAGTATTGTTTTCACTGTAATTATCTCTTTAGTAAGAAGTGGAAATGGTCTGTGTTATAGTGAATTGGAAAGAGGAGTAACCTACTAGTGGTTGGTTGGTTGGTTGAAGGAGATAGTCTTCTGGCTCCAGAAGATAGCTAGTTTAGAAGAAAATGAGAGGCAGAGGGAAGGTGGAAGAGCACCATAATAGGATCTTTGGCAGCCGACAGCTGCCCAAGTTCTCCTGAAACAGAAACAGTCATGTCTCAGTCTTCGAGCCTCTTCCAAAAACTCTCCCTCTAAGTGGTATCATCAGGCTGCAGCAGGCTGCCATGGACAGCCAGCATGATCTTTCAGAAAGGAAACTCCCAGACCAAAAAAAAACACGAGGACATTTGGCAGCTTGACCTGTTTGAATAACAGATGTGCATATTTCACTAGAGGTTGGCTACAGTAGTTATTCTCTCGTTAAAAGAGCTTCCTTAAAGTCGGAAAAATAAATTTTCTAAAATATACATACATCTTCATCTCATTAATGCAGAGTCGGAAACTGGTTAACTAAACGTCATGATTGTGTTGCATTTTTAAGACGACAATTTTTTAATGCCCAGTGTTTTCGTCTTCTAGATTTGAGTTCCCTGGTCTCCCAGAAGTTATAACTTGTGTTTAAGTAGAGGGTCTCCAAAGCCACCAAACTTCACAGACAGACAGCATCCCACAGTTGATTAAACAGACTGGCAGGAGGAGGACAAAGCCGCAGCAAACAGTCAGGGACAGTTTTGTAAGAGTTCTTGGGATTACATTATCATATCATCAGTCTGGCTAGAAACCCAGTCTCTGAAGATGTATTTTTGATTAAAAATAGCACTTGCAATTCACAGCCTTTAAACTCGTGAGCAGTACTGGATTTGCCATCATGACTCATTTGTTATCTCATTCTTTCCAACTTTGCCTCAAGAACACTGCACTAGGTTCTGGCACCATTATTGACAAGTTGAGGATAATTTAAAGGAGAGCATCACCAGTTGTGAAAGAGCTTGGTTTTAGGAGAGGAGTTAAAAAGCTTCAGAAGCTATTGGTAGCAGAAGGATTGCTTTACATAATGAACATTTTTCTCAGTAGAAGGGCTATTGTACCCATTGCATATATAGAACAATATGTTCTGAAATACAAGAGTTATTCTTCAGCTGCAGGGAAGAGTGATCGGAGGGGAAAAAGTAATCTGAAAAATTGCCTGCTGAAAAAGTCCTAGATTTTCTTTTTTTTCTTTGGAGTTATTTCCATAGATGCCATAATTCCAAAGAATACTCTGAAAATATGATAGAAGTATAACCAGTTCAGGGATTCAAAGGATGTTGAGTTAGCCTGAAACAGTAGTGTGTGTTCTATGTTAATGGACTTTTGAAGAGCACGTGATAGCACGTTTGATAGCTATTGGTATAGCAGCTGATAAGTAATTCATCTGATGACCCAATGTAAGGAGAAAAAACAATTTTTTATTCGTAAATGGAGTAGTTCTGAAAATCTTTTTGGCACTCACAGGTTATGCTGTAGAAGAATCTAACAGATAAGGTGAAAGTCTCATCAATTTTGTCCACCAGATTCCACAAAATATTAAAAATATATTGTAAGAAACTGTCTTGCTGTGATATTGGGGCAGGCTGGACATTCACTGGGTTCTGCCATTCTCCGAGTTAAATTTGCATCCACATTTGTGGATGTGACAGGCCTGCCAGAACTCACAGTGCCCAGGCATCCATTAAAGTTGACTTAGCAAAAGCTAAATATATGAGTTACTTGAGGAGCTGTGGGAGGGGTAGCTGAGATAGAGGGAGGTGTGTATATAAAACTCAGGGTGAAAAATAAAGACGTGAAAGTTTGTTACCTGTCCAATGATCCTGCATGTGCCTTGTGAGAACAAAGAATTGTCCTACTCGGTAGTGCCAGTCTGCTGCCCCGTTTCCAGCCATGCCAACTAAACATACTAAGGAGAGGGGTATTAGAAAGAGGGCCAATACGGGGTGCTCCCTGCCTTGGTCTAGCCCGGCAGGTGCTGCAGTCACTGTTCCAGGGCATTCTAGATGGAGCAAATGAGGAATGGTTTAATAGCCACTGAAGTGCCTGCTCCTGATGGACGAGTCCAGTTCATTGTATCAGGTTTCAAAATGTGCTTCAAGTTCTTTGTGGGATTTTTTTTTATGGTTACTTGTAATGACCTTCCGAACTACGTATTTGGCATACATGTATGTATAGTGTATGCTTGGACAAGCGTGCACAGATACTTTTCAGCCTTTTTTACAAAAATAAACTGATAATTTTTGTTGACAACAGCCTTCAATGTCTCTGATCAGCTTGTTTGTACTGCTCTTGGTTTCTCCTGCTCTACTGACACTTCTGTTACTTACCGTGTTCTTCTGGTTTCCTCTGCAATTTACTGCAATTCTCTTTTTAGCCGCGATTATTTAGACAAAAGAGAAGAACTAAGACAAGCAAGAGAAGAGAGGTTTGTATATAATGCATCCACCCTTCCCCTGTGGTTGTTTGCACTTCCTATATAGTTTACTGGGGAGCTGTCATGTATTTATATTTTTAACTGTGCATGCACAGAACACTTTTATTCCAAAAGACTTCTATAAGAAAGAGGTTGTTTCATTAAAGAGGAGAATGAAGTCCAGCTGTAAGCACAGCAATAAATGGAGAGCAATGGGACTGCAAAGCATAAGAATGATTGATGGTCTATCTTTTATCTATTTGTGTGGGAAATGAGCTTACTCCATTTGTCTCAGAAATTTGCCCAAATTTAGTATAGTTATAAATTGAATAAGCCTGTCTTTCTCACCCAGTGGTTCCCAAGCTTTCTGGAGGGTCAGAAAAGGCAACTGAGGATAAAGGATATGGGGGTCACAAGCATTGCAAAACGGCAGTCACAGGCTGATGGAAATGGTTCTGACCCACTCCCAGCGTATTTTCATCTTTCAGGGCGAAGTTTTCTGTGCTGATCTGTCTAAACATCAGCAAGTAAATTACAAAACTTAACAGTGTTTATCATGGGGTCATTGTTTTAGTTTTATTTAAATAGCATATTTTAAGGGACTGAGAGTTTGGGGATTTTTTCCTTTTTCAAATTCAATTAAATAGTTTAGAAACTCTGGGCTAGGCTTATGAAAGCACATTTTTCAAGGAATATTCAACTAAAAACATTTGCCTTTCAGTAGCTTCTGTCTACCTCCACCAATAATTACACCCTGGAGGGAGCTGTTGTTTTCACCTGGAAAACATGCATAGTACTGAACAAATAGTAGATAAAAACTCATCTAGGTTGCTTCAGTTCTGCTTTTGTGGTCCTCTAGAGGTTAGTCTCTGGAGGTACTTTTGAATTGTCAAGAACTGGAATTACATTATCCAAGTATGAGAGCAGCCATCTTGGAAATCATTGTGTTGCTGCATTTTGGTTTGGGTGGGGGTTTTTTTCCCCAAAAAGTAATCGTACAGAAAGCAGTTTGTTTCTGCAGACTGAAGTCTCATCTATTATGACTGTAGTAGCTAATATTAAAAAAATTATTTTGACATCTCTAAGAGTAAGAAAAGGTGGATGGACTTTTCTTTGTCCTTCAGCCAAAACAGTTACAAGTATTTTAAAGCATTTTCTGAAATGAAACACATCTGAGCACATAAGCATCATACACTGATCTTAGCTGAGTAAAACCTTTCACAGCAAGCGTGCTCGTCAGCAAGATTTGAAGCGAGCTCTCCAGCCCTTTCAAGTTGTAAGGGAATATGCCAAGTAAACAGGAGTATTTTTGGGGAAGTGTTCACCAGCAGGGCATCTCTGCTGTGCAATCTGAGACAATTTCACTGGTCACTAGGAATGTGTCTTTATCCTTAGGGCTCTTTTGAACTGAAATGTTAAATTATCAGTTCTTCCTCATAAAGAGGAAAGGCGTGTTTTCTTTGACAGCACATAAATATTAAAGACAACTTCTGCAAGTGAAGTCTTGCACCGAAAGTCCATTACATTGGCCTTCGGTAACTGTTTTTTTTTAACAAACGTCTTTGCCCAAGTGAAGTTTCATTTCCTACAGCAAGTTGCATGTTATACCTCTTTCAAGAGAATGCATGGACTGTAAGAAAATGCTGTAGCCAAGGTGCTAAAATCCTAGTTAAAATCTGAATTGTACATTTCCTCCATATCAGTTTGGAAAAGTAGAAGGAGATCATATTGAACACATAGGAAAGGCTCTGTTAAAAGCACTGGTTTGTGTAAATTCTGACAAATCTTTGGTGCATTCTGTGTGCTATTGGGTCACCCTGGAGGTCCAAAATACAGGCACCCACTTTTCCAGTGGCTCTGGGGTGGCCTCAGTATGAAGGAGAAAGATTCCTGCAGTTTCAGGGTGTCTGAGTGTAACTAAGCACCATTCATTTCATGTGTCCTTGCTGTTCGATGATTTGAGGCCTTTGTTACTTTGCTTAATTGGGTGTTTTCCAGTGGTAATTTAAAAACAAACCCAAGAAAAGCGATCTCCCAAGCCCTCTTTAGTGTGATTTACAGCTCAAATGCTCTCCACGCAGTGTCTTGGTTGGTACATAAACATTTGAAGTCGCCCTCAGGGCTTTGTGCAGAGAGCTAGAGAACTCACAGTGATATTTTCGTCTACTTGAAGATGATAAGTGGAATGTCACGTTCATGAGGCATACCTAATGGATAGCCCACAGACTTTTGGCTCTTTGTGTATAGAGAAGAGTTAGAATAAGCGTGATAATGCCTGCAGGTTTCCATGATCTAGAGGAATATGGCAGTATGTAGAGAGGCAACGTGTCAGTCCTGTAGTGAAGGAACTAATAGCGGCAGAGGGATGTTAGCTCATCCTTTCAGCTCCTTCAGATTTTGGTCTTCAAGAGACCGTGGGTATTTGATGCTGGCATTCATTCATTGTTAAGACATTGGGCAGAAACAAAACATAACCTAAATAAATGTCATTTATCAAGTGTGAAGTGTTAATAACTGATTCTTGGATGATTTTTTTCTTCTTGGTTAAATTTCTGTATCTGCTTATTAGGCTTCCCATTTGATAACTACTTATGCTGATGTGCTCCCATGAGAGCTGCTGTTCTGTTTCCCTTTTTTCTCTCAGTATAATGAATAGACGTACTTTGAGAAGGCACATCTTGATGACAGTCCTCTGCTTTGCTGGTTGGCTGTGCAGCGCACAGCTACAGAAGCTAAAATGTTAAAGCAGCTGAAAAAGAGCTGAGGACAATAAAACATTGTAGCTCCCCCGTTATAGAAGGATCCATCCAGATCTTTGTTGTAGTCTGTTGGCAAACTGCAAAAGCCTCCTCAGCGGCAGCCAGCTGGGCTGTACCTGTTTGAGCTAAGGGATCAATCTGAATGGCTCTTTATGAGTCTGAAGTCCCATCTGCTCTACTTGTGAGGAGGTGGAAGGCGCAATACATAAGTGACCGACGTTAAAAGAAAGGCTGACTTCATGCACTGTAACAAAACATTGCGGTAGTGCCAGCAAAAGGCTTTCTCCTCTATTGAAAAGGCAAAAATCATTCTCGAGAATTGGCTTCATGTTAGAACTGTAAACATTTCCTATTTTATAACCATACAAGTATGTGGCTTGTTATATTTTCATCCAGAGTCTGTAGGGGTTCTTTTTCTTGCAGAATTTGTTCAAAGCCAGTGCATACCTCTGGAGGAATAAAAGAAAATGAGTTTGTTCTTCATTATTGCTCTTTGCAATAAAGCAAATTGCCTCTGAAAATACAAAGACTGCTCTTCAAAGACACGTTTCTATGCTGTATATGGATGTTTGCAAATGTGCATGCGTGTGTGGCTACCATATGTGCTAAGCATGTTTGTTACCACATATGGCTGACTTCTCTACCCTGCCTGCTTTTAATGCACCCTCGTACACTAATTCGGGCTGTCAGTGAGGCAGAAGTGGGGAGGAGAGGTGTTCCCTGTTACGAAGTGTTTACAACAGTGGGTTATAGGAGGATGGCCACAGTGTTTCGGGGAAGTAAGCAGTAGTCTTGATTAACCTGTTAACAGTTCACTTGTGGGTAAGACAAACAGTCTAAAGCCCAATCCAGCTGTATTCATGAATTTATTCCTTAGCAAATAATGGTGGATAAAATTAGCAGACATCTGGAAGAGGGACATATTTCAAAGTTATTTTGGTCGAAATGTATAAAGCACACTATGAAGAATATGATTGGTAGCTGGTCTTAATAAACAGTTAGTGAGTTCTGCCTGCCTAAAATGCAAAACAGATGTATCTTTGTTCTTTTAAAGTGACTTTGATGAATAAACTACATGTGACGTCAGGTCCAAGCTATTGGATGTCTGAGTCCGGCAGAGAAATTTTTTAGAATAAAAAAAAAGAAAACTTTCCATTGTAAACTCTGGAGAGAACAAAGTGAATTCCAGTGCATTGCTCTCAGAGCAAATAGAAGCAGGTTCAGAGACTTCAGATAGTCAATCCAAACTTATATTATTGGTATTATTTTCAGGGAGATCTGTTTTTGTCTGCCACACTGAACCGTTTTGCTCTCCTTGCAGCAAGTCTCAGACTTTGGCTATTTGCATCAATATTAAGGGGCTCTGGCTTGGAGGGTTTTTTTTTACTTTGGTTTTGTTTTGTGTGGTTTTTTTTTCCCTCCTGTTTTGGTTTTGGGAGAGGGAGGGCTGGGAGGAGTAGGAGGTGGTGAAGGAGGAGGGTGAAAAGGAGAACAGACAAATGCTTCCAAAAGGAGAAAGACTGTGCAGACACAATACTATATCGAAGGACTCTTTAACTCTGCTGGTTTTTGCTTTTGTTTTGTCATGAGCAATTTAATGTTTTTCAGGGCAATAGTCTTTGCTTTGGTGTCCATTTTTTGGCAGATTAACCAGGCAGGCAGCTTAGTGCTGTACCCCTTGTGTCAGGAAGTCAGCTCATTCTCTGCAGGTGTTTCATCCATAAACAAGCATCAGCCACAGACTGCTTTTTCTTTACGGAAACCCTCTGGAATTTAACTTTCAGGTACAAATACTTGGAGAGGTTGGCAGCGGAGGAGTATGAGAAGGAGCTGAAGAGTCGGAGCATAAGCCGAGGCAGAAGTGAGCTGTCCTTGAACCTGAGATCTCCTTCAGCCCCATCCTCGCCTGTACCCAAGTGCGTCAGCCCAGCATCCGTAGAGTCCCAGGAAGAGCTGAAGACCCCTTCCACCCCTTGTGGGTCCCCTCAGCCCTCAGAAGGTAAGTGAAAAGGAGGGCAGGGGAAAGAGCGGTGGTTTTATCACAGTTTCTCTCGGGCTAGCAGTGCTTTTTGATGCATGAATGCAAGAGTATAACCTCTGAGGTGCTAAAGTAAAGGGTCTTACAGTTTCATGCTGTCTTCCTAAATTTCCTCTATTTTTCCATAGATATGTATGCCTTCTAGTCTATTTAAGCAAAGAATACACTTCAAATTGTTGCTATGATTTATGTTATCATTGTCTGTTGCTATTAGAATGGAATAATTGGAAAATACAGCATACAGAGGGTCTTAATTTTAGCATCATATTCCCTATATATTAGAAGTTACTGAATACTAAACCAACAGTATTCCTGCCAACAGATTTTGCTTATGTGGATTTTCTGAAAGAAATGCAACAGATGAATGCCAAGATTATAATAACCTTCCAGCAGAGCACAGGCTGAAGGAGACAAACAGAAAAAGGTCTTGAACTGAAGGCAGGGAGAGTGTGTTGGTTATTTTTAACACCAAGAAAAACTCTTAAAATTGTAGCACAAGTAGTAAAGGACTTAAAAGAGAACACAGACAATTAGTAAAACGGAAAGTATAATTACCATTTGCACGGTTGGTTTGGTGTCATATAATTTATTGCTGTACAGAGTAATATTTTTTGTGTGTGCATGTCGTTCTGCCACTTGCACCATGTACCCCTCCTTCACTCCTCAAAAAAACACCCACCACACAGAGTTATATTTGCACCACGTGATGTTGCATTAACATTCGGAGCTAGAATGCATGTTGAGAGTGAGTTATTGCCATCATTCATGTTTATTTTATTTGATTTCCTGCTACATGCTATTGGTAATTAATGCATTTGTAACTTGCACTGCTTGGTTTTATTGAGTGTTATGGCTGGTAGCATGCTATAAAACAAGGCAATGTAAGAAAGAAGTTACAAATACTGAATGCTGCATAAGTTTATCCGCACCGTAGTAAGTAGATGAAGTTTATTTCATTTAGATTTATGTATTTGCCCAATTATACTCCCAGTTTTCTTGTCTGGCACCTTAAAAGTCTCAGTGGAATCATCTGAACTTAAAAAACATGGATATTTTCCTGTAATACTGATATTCAGAAACAGCCAAATGCCCATTTTTTTTTTGTTTGAGTGCAATATTGCTTTTAGAGCAAATAAGCTGGATTTTTCCACCAGTATGATTTCAGAGCTGGGTAGGGAGCGAATATCTCTTTTATGATGATTATTTTAACATATTTCTCCTGGAATCATAGAAAAAAAAATGCAACATGAAATGCAGCAGCATAATCCATTTGGATAATACATTTAGAGCAGGTGTACAGGGCAACTTCAGGCAGCCAGAGTACGGCAAAGCTATCAACACGTGGGTAGGCAGGACATCTCTGCTAAAACTCATGGCAATACCGGTGGGCATTAGAGGGCAGCACCTGGAAGTCTGGCAAATGGACTGCAAGGAGAGAACATATGGATGCCGCAGGGTAAGCCTGCAGCCAAGGGCAGCTACAGGCAGATGGCCGGGACAGCACCAAAACAGGGGCCTGAAATCTCCATACTTCAGTGGGAGCTGTGCATGAGGAAGGACTGCTGTTTCAGGCCTACCAAAAGCGTTGGAAAGGTTGTATGAAGTAATGAACATGTGGGCAGGACAGGCTCTCTCTTCTAGAGGTGGCCAGATTATTGGATATCAGCCAACAACTGGCAGGCTTATTTATAGATTTTGTGCCATGGCCTCTAGACTATTATCTGAGTTCCTTATGCTCCATAATGAACTAAAATCTCAACTTCTACTGTCCTTAGCAAATGTTATGAATCCCACTTAACAGATGGAGAAACTGAGTCATTATCTCGCGTAAGCCAGTTGTAGGAAAGCTGAAATAGAGCCATGGACAGACCTCAGATTACTTGCACCCCAAGCAGTTGCTTTGAACATGGGGGTCACCATCTTCCCAAGCAAGGATAAAACTGCAGAAGGAAAACACTTCCTTGGTTCTGCGCATAGGACCCTTCAAAGACTCTGCAAGAACGGTGCTAATGGATGTGTGATACTCACCTGCAGAATTCAGAACCTGAATTCAAATGGGAAGGGCATTTCTCTACTAGCAAAACAATAAGTGATTTTCAGAGTCAGATTTATTTTATGCCGCTTGGGCTGAAGTATCTTTTGGTCATCCAGTATCTACTGGGCTTAAGAAGAAAATGAATTTTGTCTGTGAAACTTTGTCCCATGCTGTGAAACATCTCAGCATCATTACCCAATATAAAAATCTGGATTTACTGAAGTGTTTTTTCATATGAAATAATTGGTTCCACTAAAGTAATCAAGTCTTGTAAGACTTACTCTTGCAAACCTTGGGGTATGGCATTTAGAAGAAATGAAGGCAATCCCATAACTGCAAAATGGAACTTAATATTTTTTTTCAGAGCAGCTACTTCCTTTTTTGTAATTTCACTGGAGAGTATTTTATGAAGTGCGCATGTGCAGTAAAGGAGAGCAACAATAATGAAGACGTCTCTGAAGTCAATCCACAAAGGAATTGGAGATGAACCCTTCTCTGAGAGGAGCAGCTTTTTCAGCACTTGAGAAAGCAGGCCAACCCAAGTTCACATTTTGATCAGTAGAAAAACTCCTGAAAGTATTAGTAGCTGAGCAAGGTTCAAATACTGCTTAAAATATGACTGCTGAAAGCATCTCGGCAGAAGGAGAAGCACCACAGTGTGAGGGTGCAGTGAGGCCATTGCAGCCCCAGTTGTTGAGCCAAAGGAACCACGGTACAGAAAGTCAGAGCAGGAACTGGGATGGGGGACAAAGAAAGATCATTTCTGACTTGATGAAGAAAGAGCCGGTTCCCTACTGGTCGTCACTCTGTGCTAGTTTTTACCGTCACAAGGAACAGGAAGAAAAGATTGAGGTGGAGGTGGAGAAGCAGAGAGAGTCTCCGCTGAATTCACAGCAAGAGGAATCCTGTACTGGTGGAACTGAAGGGGGGATAACAGCCAAGATTTTAAGTGATCCTGCATCCATTGAAGCAAGAGGGCTTGGGTAGGTATAGCTATCTTCAGACTTACTGTATACATCCTCAGGAGGCACTTAGCATACTCCCAGCTCCAAGCAGAGCGCAGAGAAAATAGATGAAGATGCCATTGCCTAATCTATTACCCTGGCAGGAGGTTAGGTGTGGGCCCAGAGGAGTGTTTGTTCTCTCTGAGGGCTTATAGGACTGGGGCTCGAGGTCTTATCAGCAAGTCCTAAGGGCACATCTTGTGTCTGTTTCAGAGTTTGTAGTTGAGTATCAAAAGAACAGTTGTTTGCCTCCATGTCCCTGTCTAGCGTTATAAGTACGTAGCCGTGTTTTTCAGAAGGGAACAGTTTGCTGTCCTCTCTAACCTCTTACTCAAAAGAGGGCTGTCGCCAACATCTAGTCAGATCATAGCAGATCATGTTTTTGGGCTTTACGTGGCCAAGTCTTGAAAATGTCAGATGTATATTACACCATCCCTCAAAATTACAAAATCTTCACACATTCTTTGAAGGACCCTGCTACCGTCTCCTTTAGTGACGAGGTTACACAGCTTCTTTGAGACATTTCATTCTTCCAAGAAGTCTTCTCATTTTTTTCCAATAATACATTTTTTAGATATTAAGTTCTGGCAGAAAAAGAGGTGGGCATATGACTCAAGAATTAATCTGTAAAACCACATTCAATTTTCCTCCTCTTGATTAATCCAATTGCAAGTAAAACTTCTGCTCATTTAAAGACCTTAGTTCACTCATTTGTTTTAATAGTGGGCGTGGGGAAAGCTAAGCCTTGAGAGAAGTGTGAAAAATAGCATATGCCAGTGAAAAGAGGTTACTTCTACCACTGAATCTGGCAATCCCAACTTAGGTTTTAGGAACTGTATGTATGTAAGAACTGGGTTTTAAAAAAAAAAACATGTTTTTTATAATGGCATCACACTTCCTAATGTGTCAGGCATGCCTTCTTTGCTGTTGATGCTTTTTGATATGACCATGCTTTGCTTCCCTGAGTCTTCGCATTGTCCACCAGAAGTCTGAAGACAGGGAACAGAGCCTGGTCTGTTATTTAACTCTGTTGAAACCTGCAAGGTTGCCACTTAGACTTTTTGTCTGGTGTGAAAACTGATCCAGTAGATACAGGACTGAAAGTTCCAGCTCATTTCAAATAGGCCACCACCAAGCATTCAATGAGAACTGTATTTTTTAACATCTTTAGAAGTACTCACTAATATCAGCCCCATGGATTACACAGTGGAACTGCAGGTGATGGACACATGTCCAGCTTGCTGGCTTTGTTCTCCTGCTAGTTTTTGCTAATAGATCTAATTCTGAACTGCTTTTTAAGGGAAGCGCTACAGGACTTAGCTCACTATTTATAAGTTACTTGGGTGATGGGTCGATTGTTTGATCTGATCCCAAAAGAGAGAGAGATTGTCGAAATGAGTGCCAAAATATCCCTGTTTTGTTCTAGCAGTACTTAGACTGTGATTACTCGTTGAACTCAAAAGAGCAGCCTGTGTCAGTATATTGCTTTTTATTCTTTGTTGTATATTATATTCTGATAAGATGCTGCATCTTTCTGGTATGTGTGGAATATTTCTGGTGTGAAAAGTATCCAGAATTCTTTTGAACATTCTCGTTTTCTCAACCATTTCTTATGTCTCCCCTGACTCTAGTCTATTGAATCTTCAGAGCAGCTTCATGACGACCAAGGTGCCATAAGCATTAGCAGTCCTGGCCATGCTTTGGCCAGCTTCTTTCTCCATCTGAGCTTTTGGAGTTGACCTTTTTGGTTAATGCATGACGGCTTTTGTTTTTAGAAACATCTCAAAATAATACAAAACTATGATTATTCAAGGATAAATTGATGACATTTGTATATATGGACCGTTGCAGCATGGCAAGCTCAGTCATTCATTCTAGGATTCCTAAGCTTGCATCTCAGTTATATTCAAATCTTGGCTTGACTTTAAAACGCTCTTGTGCTATACCTACACACTGACAGCTGTGGTCAGAAACACACTGCTGGGATTCAGAATGTCTGCCAACTGCTTTTTGCCAGCTGCCTATAATTTTGATTTTCTTGTAGGCAGTGCACAGGGTACAGTCACAGGTAAGATACATTTAGAGAGACAAGGCATCTGCAAAGCTGCTGTGACGTTAGACTTTTAAATGCTTTCTATGTAGAAGAGGGAGAAAGGTAAGCTTCTAACTGGGAGTGGTTTAAAACATCTTAAAGGGGTTTGAGTGTGCATGGAATATATATTAAACATATTACATGTGCATTTATTTTATATACATGCATTATATATGCATGTCTAGTTATTTAACTACACATTTAAAATCAATTGTGAAAGTGTAAAAGCTTAGCTCAAATAGGTGGCAAAAAAATCATTTGCAGTTTTGTAAACTTAAATTATATGAAATGAAGTGGAATAGTGTGGTATTGAAGATGCATTACTGAAAGCTAGTTTAAAAGCATATGTGTTATTATAAAGATAGGCACAGGCATTGTTAGAAATCATTATTCTTTTTATGGGTGTCAGAAAATAGGGAAGGCACACAACATGAAGCAATCTTAGGAAAACAGTGTGACCTTCATTATTTTTGCTTATACTTTCTCAGGATAAATCTATTTACCTGCTCCCTAGAGGACTGAAATGTTTGAATTGCATTCCAGTGTGATACTTCTTTTCCTTCAAAGATTCATGTAGTTGTTGAAGAAAGTCTCATCGTATATCATGCAATCCAAAGACCAGGAGAAGTCCAGAGGTCTCTTTTGGAATATTGTAATGAAAAGAGTTAACAGAGGGAAAAAATGAGTAGGACTTGGTCACTGTAGTTCAGCCACCCTGCAAGATTTAGTACAGAGGGAATCTGGGGAGTATGGAGAACTAACATGCATGCCCATTTTCATCACTCTTGCATGGCCATTTCAGTTTTCAGAAAATTGTGAGCTGCTTGATGTGAATATGTGTGGATGCTCTTCAGTTTCTTTACAGCATGCAGAGAATATTTGCATGTGAAAATTTGCTGTTACAGCTAAAAACTCTAAAGGTGAATGGATGAATTCCACTGTCAGTCATAAAGCAGGGAAGAAGAAACCGAGTATTCTATCAACAGCAGGTTGCTGTGTGCCAAGCGATGAAAAAGCTCATCGTATGCCATATGCCAACCAACTGGAAACTGAATTTGTGCCATATGCCAAGCAGTTGGAAACTTTGTTCAGTTTGATGTGGCTATTCTGAAGTAACTGTGCATGAAAAAACATGTGGTTTTCATCAGCCAAATGTGTGACAGTGCCATGTCCAGACTGTGCCATTCAACTGTGTTAATAAAACTAATGTTTGTATTTTTTCGTTCAAGTGTTCCTCATCAGGTGAAAAAAGAATTCTTCCAGAATCCAAAGAAAATTCAACCAAAAGCCACAATCTTCCTCCTTTTTGTTTTTTAAAAGATCTCCTTCCTGGCTCTGTCTAGGCACTGAGTTGTCAATGACATGCTCAGGTGGGATGCCCATTTTCTGCGGATTCATTGAAATCCTTATGCAAATCCAACACTCCGGCTGTGGAAGTATGTACAAAAACGGTGGGCTGGCTCCAGACAGCAAGCGAGGGGGTTTGCCAGGCCACTCTCACGCGCAATGCTGTCGTTGCACAGCATCCATCCATCTGCTGCTCCTGATGTTCAGCATGCCGTGGACTTGCTTTTCATTTTCTTTCCATAAGGCGCTTGTACAACTTCCACGTCGCTCTCGTTTAGAGGGGTGAGCCTGAGACGACTCCGTTGCTGAGTGAATCTCTTTCTCCCGTTGTTCTCTCCGCCAGTGAGTGCCAGTGAACCCGAACCCGAGACAGAGACAGAACCAGACCCAGAGCAGGAGGCTGAGGCCGAGCAGGGAACGGAGACACCCAAGGAAATAGAGGCTACAGAAGTGGGACCAGAGAGTGAGGTGGAGCAAGGACCAGAGAGAGAGCCAGAAGAAAGTGCAATACTCAGTGAAAAAGAGAGGCAGAATGAGGAAGTGAATGAAAAAGACAACTGCTCTGCATCCAGCATATCCTCAGCAAGCAGCACTTTAGAGAGGGAAGAGAGAGAGGACAAGTTAACCAGTGACAATGAAACTGGTAAAGTGAAGCTTTTTCAATAATAAAGGGTTTCTGATGAAAAAAAAAAAAGTTAAATTAGCTGCTCTGTTGTTGTGTTAATTAGCTAACAAACCCTTTGCACCTAAGATTTCCATCACCCTGGCCAAATCCATTTCTATTCTTTCCTTGGAAATCCACAGACTGATGGGTTTTCTGTGTTTAAGGAACAGTAAGGCCTTGGTGAAATTAGGTTTCCTTTGACTCAAGAACATTTTCTTCCCCTATGATCAATGTACTAACTATTGAATGATTGTATTGCAGCAACTTGCATCTCTAGCTCCCATAGAATTTATTTGGGTTTTCTACACATAAAACAATGAGAGAAGGGGCCATGTTGATACTAGTTGTCATGAGATTTGATACCTTTTATCATGCTGTTACCTTTTAGTGGAAGAGGTAGAGCAATGAGGACTGGGATGTTTGTTCCTTCCCCCCAATTTCCAACTTGGTTAGACTTCAGAAAGCAGAGAGAGATACATAGGAGCTGCTGAAGATAGGTCTGGGCTGTGGCCATCCTTAGCTCGTGTGGAGGAGGCACATGGAATAGACCTTGTCTGGAAAAGACCAGTTCTGTAATGATGAGTGGTTCTGGTCAGATATGCCACCAGGCACCTGTAAAGGCTAGCCCAGCCTGGAAAACACCTTAAGAACCATTTTTATGCCTGAAGAGGTAATGATAACCAGAGCTTGACATACAGGACAGGTAGGGAGTAAAAGGCAGGTTTTGACCTTCATTGATTAATTACTCTTTCCAACTTTTTATATAGAGAGGTAAAGGAATGTAATGTAATTAGGGCATTTGGTATCCAGGTGGTCTTAGGGCTGAATAGGGGAATGCATTGTCGTTAAGTTTTCTAAATTCTAGATAAGAAAAAAAAATTGCTTCACAGTGTGAAAGTCTTGTGCTTTCCTGAAAGAAGAGGGATGACACTGAATCACAAGGATTACCTCACAGACATAAACTGCCAGATTGCACTGTTCATGTTTAAACCTCATCGCTTTTTTTTCATGGAAGCATGAAGTTAGTTTTATTCTAAATTTAAGGGCTATCTTCTTTTCAACCAGCACCAAGACCGAGTGAGTTACAACGCTATTGTACTCTTAAAGAATTTAGATGGAGGGGAGATATGGCAGATGAAGGATGTCATTACACTGTGGCATAGTCCAAGATAGTCCAAGGGCAAGTAAGGGAGAAGAGGTTACAGGTTTTTCCCCCTCATCTTGTCTGCTACCAGCATGTTACCACTCTAATAAAGTGCTTATGTACTTTTTGTTAAAAGCTAAGAAATATACCCTGTTACTGAAAAATCAGCATCTTAAAATCAATCTACGTTACCAAAGATTTATTAGGTTGTGCTGTGTAGGAGGTCTCATGTAGTGAGTTGTTTGTTCTCTAGTAGGTGAGGAGATTTGGAAGGCAAACAAGAACGCTTTCTTCAGCAGTTCTCACATTCCAAACAAGCTTTTTGCCATTTATCAGGTGGCCCATTGGTTCTGCCCAGATGCATTAAGGACAAAGGAATACAGTCTTTGGTCCTGGCTTCTCCTTTGTTAGCCATCGTGCTGAATTTGGCTTCCCACGAGTCTTCTTTCTCCGATCGTATTTCCAAGCTTTACCCGTGGAGGGAAGAGGCCACCAAGGGTAGCAAGAGTCTTCACAGCAGTAATCTTTGCTCAGCTAGGGCAGGTAGAGGCAGACTTGGGGAGCCCAAATTAGAGGTTGTGTCTGGCGGAATTTTGATGAGCGATTTTGCAAGGGGATTAAATCCTGGAGGATCACAGCTGGTGACACCGAGAGCAGGTAGGTTATGTGCGATTTGTAGGAGGGATCCTGGGAGCAATCTTGAACATCTTTGAAGGACAGGCTGGGAGTAGGGGGAAGTCCTCTGGGGGTCCCAGCTGGGTAAAATCCATGGTGTGGGGAAGGAGGTGTCTGTGTAGTAAAACTACCTCAGAGACAAATCTGAGAGACTACCTCAGGTGACAGATCTTGGTGAGAAAGCAATCCCACGGCTAAAGTCTGAGGAAAAATAAACAGGTAGTGGAAGCAGTCAAACCTCCTACAGGAAAGTAGAAGGAAACAGTCTGGAAAAAGAAGTCTTGCTTTTGTCTAGGGTTAAACCTCTGGACTCATTTTAAAATGTGGTTTAGAGGTTAATCTGAATAGAGGTGAGAGTCATTGCTGTCCATATGCTTTGTGCTGTGAGACCTGTCCTACATTCTAATGTGGTGTGATTGTAAAGGGACATGGGGGAGTTGTGGATCTCACCGAAGAGACGCCTTCTCGGAGCACAGGGCTAGATGTCGTGGTAAGAAAGCAATTCCATTGATGAAGAAAGCCTTAAAAGATGTTTAAAACTCTGAAATATTGAAAAAGGTGAGAGCATAAGGGGAGAAACAAAGATAAAATGGAAGTTTAAGAGAAAGGGCAACTGACAGGTATAAAAGAAAATCTTTAACTACAAGGGGCCAAAAGGAAGGTAGGCTAGCAATCAAAATCAAATGTGTTTAAGAAAGAGAGTTTATAAAAAATGTATTAAGTGTGTAAAGACTATGGGGAACAGAAGGAGTCCCATACAGGAAATATAGTAAGCGTGAAGAATTATCTTTGTCCATGTTTGATCACTTCATCTGATGCCCGCTGGAAAAAGAAGCACCATAATTTTAAGACACATTATCCACATTGGTTAGCAGTATTACATTCAAGGAAATGTAGTCTAAGAGACACTTACATCATTTATTTTTACAATTTCACTGCTATAGTTTGTTATTTATGGTGCTGTCTCAAGCATGGTATTTTGCAGATTATTGTTGAAAACCACAGTAGTGGAGATGAAGTTTCATTATAGTGACGTGTTAAATGATTGTGATGTGGGAAGAAGGCCATTAGACTTTCAATGCCATCATGTATTACTGAGAGAGTAACGGTGGTTGATGAGCAGCATTTTCAAATATCTTTTATAAAGGTGCTCATATTCCTAGAAAGAACTTGTAAAACTTGCTTATGCTGATACTCACGGAGTTGCCCTCAGAGCTGTGTCCTGGATGTGCAGCCTGGTCTGGGGTTCGAAGAGCTAGTGTTGTGAAGATGGCCCGGGTACCCAGCCGGGGGGTCTGAGGAACAGCCAGATGTGGAAGCTGTTGGCCCCTAGCCAGCAGTGAGTGAGGAGGAGGAAGCAGTTACATGTGGACCTTGACATCAGGCAGGGAAGATCTCTTTTATAAGGAAGTTTCCCTGGGGTGGTTCCAGTTTATGGCCTTGTGAAAAGTACCACGATAACCTATTTTGTGCCATTGTCATGATATTGAAGCCCCATTCCGGATTACTGAAGATTTGGAGCATTTATGCACTGTATAAAATGATCTGGGGTAGTAAGTACAAAGTGAAACCTGATAGATTTCAGGAGAAACCTGAACCTTGAAATCCTGACCATTATATAGTCCCTCCGGAGCTACGCTCATTACGTTCTGCTCCCATGCCTCTTTTGAGAATTACTCCCAGCCCATCAAGATTGGGCCATATATCAGCACTGTCACTTATTCCAATATTTTCAAAGTTATTGCTTGCCCGATTTCAGACTCATTGTGTACGTCCTCCCCCCCCCCGACTTTTTCTGTTGGGTTAAAGAGCATTCTTGGTGCTCTGGCTCCCTCCCCTTGACTCTTCCCATCTGTGTGTGTGTGATTGCAGGTCCATGGTCGCAGACCATTCAGGATGCTGGTGTGAATGAGCAGTGCAGCAACATCCTCAACAACAAGCGGTTTATGCTGGACATGTTGTATGCGCATAACAAAAAGCCCAAGGATGAAGAGGCGAAGGAGCTGGAGGCGAAGGAGGAAAAGACGGAGACGGAGGAAAGCGAGGAGTCACTCACTAGCCTAGCCAGTAGGATCTCTATACTTCAGGCCACGAAGCAGGCCAAAGATGAAAGTGTCAAAAAAATGGAGATCGGAAATCTGGACAACCAAGGCAGCGTGAAAGCCTTTGCGGAAAAATTCAACAGTGGTGAGCTGGCGAAGGGGACAGCCGTGCCTGAAGATGAAATCAGTGAACAGGTCCCCGAGAAAACACCAGCACAGCCAAAGAAGGAATCTGACTACATCTGGGATCAGCTTATGGCTAATCCTAGAGAACTTAAAATCAAAGACATGGATTTTACAGACTTGGGGGAGGAGGATGATGTAGATGTGTTGGACATGGATATGGGTCCTGGGGACTCCCTTGTTCCCCCTCCTCCACCCCCACCTTCTTTTCTGGGTTTGCCTCCTCCGCCACCTCCCCCGCTGTTTGGATGTCCGCCTCCACCTCCACCCTCTGCTAATTTATTGGCTCCTCCGCCACTGTTCAGCACTCCTCAGGGTTTAGGGTCACCCCAGGTTTCTAGGGGTCAGCCAGCATTTATAAAGAAGAAGAAAACCATCCGTCTGTTTTGGAACGAAGTACGGCCATTTGAGTGGCAGTGTAAAAACAACAAACGCTGCAGAGAATTCCTGTGGTCGAAACTGGAACCCATTAAGGTGGACACTTCCAAACTGGAGCATCTCTTTGAGTCTAAATCCAAGGAACTGCCTGTCACAAAGGTACAACTCATATTCAGCTTGCTATTATTGTGCTATTGTATTGGTGTTCATTCTAGCTGAGATCTAGGTGATTTATGTTGTTTGTGTGAAAACAGTGGAAATTACTGGATGTGTTTCCAGCTTGGCATATGACGGAGGATATTCCATGGTCTGAAACTAGGGGTGAGGCTAGGGTGGTGTATGTGCCAAGCTGCCCTCCTGTCTCGGGTCTACCGGTTTTGGGATATCACTTCAGGTGGGGAATACCAACAAATTTTAGGTTGTTTGTAGCTGAGTTCCAGACTAGGCATTGAAATTTGAATTCTTTCTGTTTCATTTGTGTAAAGGTCATGGCGTGATGATTCATATCTGTGTATTTCACAGTTCTTCACTTGGTTATATTTTCCTAATCATTTTGTGGAAAGATCAGAATATCAAGCTGGATCTGTTGCAAAAAGCCTATATGTGTGCTTTGTTCTGAAGGATCGATGTATCAGCTGAACCAAGTTTACAACTAAACTCTGTGGGGGTGTTGGGTTTTTGTTTTGTTCTGGTGAACAGGCCTATTTTAAATCCTTAATTTGTACAATGTGACTATACAAATTTTAGGATAGAAGCTGGCACAGGAAATGCCCCTGTAGCTGGGATTCCCTCTTCTTTGGGAGCATTGTTATAAAATAAATTCACAGAGGCTGGTGACATGGCTGTTTAACATTAGATTCAACAACAAAAGGAAGTCTTTTATAGTTACTTGTAGTAGGAATATGAAGTAGCAAAGTTATTAGCTTGAACATTTGTTTTTTGTGGCTACGTGAACTCTTCCTCTTCTAAGCAGAATAATCAGTATGAGGGAAACAAAGTTTTTTTCCAGTTAAAATGATAGTGAAAGGTGTCCGTATCTCTTTCTTAAATAAATCACTTGTATGTTTTCTATGTATGCCTATATGTTTTACAGTGACACAAAAACCAATCAGTACCTTGAATATTTTACTTCTCTTTGGCTGGCAAAAGTAGTCATGTATATTATGTATTGTATATGTTATTGTTTGCTCTTAATCTGGGGAGACTGGATTTCTCACGGTAAATGTTCTCCATGTCACTTGTCTGGGTTATTAACTCAGAGTTTTCGAAAAGTCATTCTTGATCTTCTTGGCCAAGTGGAAATATTGCAATTTGAGCAATGAAAACCCCTCGTTAAGTACCTGGTAAACAACAGACACATAAATACATGGCTGGCGTAGATCCTGCCATCACTGTTCTTAGCTGAATTTTTTGTGACGCAGATGCACATAGATCAGAAACGTATGGCATAGCAACTCTAAAAACACATTCAGCTGATCATTCATTTGGCTGATGCTGTGATTAATTTCTCTCTAATTCCTTTTCTGCTGAGGAAGGAATGCTGGTGACGTCGTGGCGTGTTACTCCTCATCTCTCTCCCTGTAAATACAAATCTGCCACAGATGGTTCGTAGATGGAAGGAATGAGAGCATTTTCTTAGATCCATAAAATATTTAATTCCTCAAATTGAATGTGGAATTATGACATACTTGCCATTTCCAAACTTTAGCTTTGTGCTAAATGCCAGTATTGTAATAGATCAGTCTGGCTGATTCCTAATCTTTTATTCTCACACAAAATTTCTGATAAAATGTTAAATTGTTGGAATTTTCACTTGTTTACTTTCCAGTCATTTATGGTGCGCGTTCCCAAACTACCTTTGGCCATTTTCCCCTCCGTCACACTTGCTTCCCAAACCTGCCTGACGCTTTGGCACAGCTTTTGGCTTCTGGCTGGAAGATGAGTGAGCAAGTTTCTTTGAAATTAGTGCAAGTCTGAGGAATGATTTAGGTGACTGCTTTCCTCTTGGAGACTAATAACTGCTCTCTGCGTGAGACGTTATACTTTTGGCTCTCTTTCCACCCTGTCCCATAACACAGACAGAGAAGTCTCCATTGTCTCTGTAGAGAAGACAATGGTGACTGAGGAGTACCGTAGTGGAAGTCTACCCAGACTTCTGAGACTCCTGTCTGGTTTTGGTGAATACCAGCAAATCTTTCAGGGTAGGAGATGGTCCTTAGATCAAGTGAGAGTGGAAATAATTAAGCAGACCACTGAATCCTTAAAAGACTTGAGGTTTGGTACGAAGATTGCACTCAAATTAGGATAGCTCTCGCTTTTTCCAGACTGCTTGGTTTGTTTCCAGGGAGTACATTCCCCGTTGTGTCTAGTTTCTCCTGTCCAATGGCTGCAATCCAAAACAGGTTTATTCTATAATATTATAAAGTCTGACTCACAGCTCAGTTGGTTCAGCTGAAAAAAAGAGCACAGAGAACAAACCAAAAGTCAGATCTCCAGATTTCATAGCAGTAGATGGAAGCAGGTGCATGGAAAAGGAACAGTCCAGAAGGACCAGAAGAAAAGCAAAGTCAGGGTGTGTAGGGGGGGCTTGGCCCTATCTTGTGCATATGCTCTTTCAGACAGCTGTAACCAATTTTACTCCAGTTTCTAAACCTTCACTGTGATTTCTACAACACACAGCTATAAACAGCTACTTCCTGGCTCATGAGAAGTTTTTCATTAAACACAACAGACTACAATAAAATAAAGTGAATTTTAAATTGTAGGATATACAATATGGGAGATGGGGTGGGGGAGGGGGCTGGGAGGGGAGATTCTTGATTTTAGGAAAATTTATGCCACACTGGACAATTTGCACATGGTTTATAGTTAGTGGAGCCCCTTTAGTTGCAGAATGTTTATTTTCCAGAATAGAGGAGACAACATTCTGTTTGTGAATAGAAAGAGAGGGATCAGGTAACGCCTCCAAGCCAGTCTGGAATTCCTTTCCTTCTCACTCTGCCAAACAAAGCAGGTATTTTGGCAAAGTACTTCAAAGTGTTTATTTTTCTGTGGAGAGAAAGGAAAACATGCGGACACTACTGGATCAAACGGTGGTGTTTAGCCGTTCTGCCATCCGCTTGGTTCTGCGTGTCATTTGAAAGTAGTATTTTGCTGATTCATCTATATGCCCTGTGGGACAAAATTTAGGAATGTGTTTTCATGTACAGGTGTATATACATGCCTAGACACATATTCCTTTTGAAATTGTTTGTTGTGATTTGAATAAATGCCAAGGCGAGACACAAATGTGGACCAGAATTTCTGAAAAAGTCTATATATATGTATCCTGGACAAAGTTAGTGGCAGCCAAGTGATTCCATTTTAAATCCCCACTGCTAAACCCTTGCTAATTGAGTTAGAAATAAAAAAATGCCATCTCACTAGTAAGGGATTGCCCATTTTTTTCTGTACTACTGATGCAGATTGTTCTGCATGTTTAAATGCAGGAGAGATTTCTGATTTGGTGTTCATATATGATTACTTATTTATATGACCACTGGAAAAGTGATTTTATTTTTTCTACTTCCTGTATTAATTAAAGCAAAGAGGCATGGTTTAGACCATGTGCTCATCAGACCACAAATCGCATTCTGTGGGATGGTAACGGTTTTTGAGAACCTTGTCTGGACTGCCCAGCCTTCAATATAGGTAACAGTTTCAGGCCAGTTAGGTCTTGTAAAGATCTAAATTTACTGTAATTGTTAATGCATTGCAGGAACGTTTGTTTCCCACAAATTATACCACATGATATATTTGTATTTTGTAATTAGTTTTGTATTTACATTTAATAATATCATATTCAGAAGTTCAGGGCTTACGTTACATACTGCCACATTAAAATATAAAATGAAGTGCACTAGCACACTGTTCCCTTAAGCTTTTGAAGTCATTCTCTGTCAGTGAATTTGTAAAGCACAATCTGAAGTCACCTAATATTTTAAAAGAAATTAACAGTTGTGGCTTATTTTAACAGTCAGACACTTATACATGTGCAGTTTCATCGCAGACAAAAAGGAATTCTTTTCCTAGTGGTAGGGTAATAAAGTTCATAGTAGTAAAATCTCTGTCCTTTCTTCATCGTTTTATTCACTTGGAAAGGATTTCTTTGTAACCCAGCCACCATCCCCAGAATGGATTTAAAATCTCTCTTCTACCCCTGTGTTTGAATAGAGTTACTTACTTCAGATTTTTATACCCCGTATGCAGTTATAGCTCTGGAAAATACCTACGTGCTTACATCCCCTGTACAGCTCATCTGTCTTTCATAACTCACCGCTAAGAAGCAAGCGCACCGTTGCAATCGCAGTCATCCCAGCAGTTAGCGTCATATGTCCCTCAAATGAATATGTCTGTCGTGTCAAACTTAGGAGCCCAAAAACAGAGCTGCAGATCTGAGGCTTGCTTACCCATACCGCATGTGGGAAGCCTAAATTTAATTCCATTCCTCCTGCCTTCTCCCTTCTGCATAAATTCTCTGAAGCACTGTAATTCTGTGCTGTGAAGGACGAGGTAAGATGTGGTGGTTTAAAAAAGGCTTAGTGCAATACAGACTCAAGAGGAAGCAGGCTCTGGTGAACCCCACTTGGTTTTATGTGGTCTTGGCCACTAACTGTGGTCCTGAAAATGTGATTAATGGCCCTGGAAGTAAAAATGGCTGCTTTGAAGGAGAAGCTGCATCTCTGGTCCTGCAGGTAGTTCCCCAAGAGAAAGAGAACTCTTGTACTCGGGGAAAAGGAAGTTCAAGAAGGCTTCAGCGATGCTTTTAAGGCATTAAGAAGAGAGCAGTTCTGACAAAACAGACATATAAAAATTGAAAACAAGCATTATCTTTGCTTTCCTAGAATTTATCCTGTTTACTGCAATAGTGTTGTTTCTTTTGAAGTTTAAAAAGAAGCACCCTCTCATTACTTTCACAGATCATACCCATGTGGTAGTCCCCAACTCCTGTCAACTGCACTTGCCTTCGGTCTCATCTGCAGACAGACGCTGCATCACACCACGTGAATCGTGTTGGTGTGGTGGAAGGCCTGTGGTGCCACACACATGCTGGGTGGGCTGCTGGGGCCGGTGGGCAGAACTCTTCCTGGGCAGGCTGGGCACTGAGCTGGGCCAGAAAAAGGCATCTTTGTAGTGATACAACTGCGTTCCCATTATGGGCTGACCCACAGCTGGAGGTACTTTGATTAAATCTTATTTACTAACTTACACAGTTCTTCCAAGGTGGAAAGAGCGTGTAGACCTGGCAGTAGGGTGTTTTTTGACTCGGTGGCTGTGGTGCAGACCCAAAGGAAGTGGAGAACAAAGCTTCGTGGTCTAAAAAGCAATCCTGAGCACAGATCGAGACTGGGGCAGTTAATAGTCTCCTCCTGGACTTACCCCACATCCACAAGAGTTGCAAGAGGCACTACTGCTGTAGACAGCACGGATGATTCCCTGTTCTGAACAGTTGTATGGGCTGCCACATTGCAGCCTGGAAAGAGGGATTGCTTAGTCTCTCTCTTTGCCTCTTCAAGGTGCATCTGTGCTAAGGCTGCTGCTGCTGCCAGAGCCACTACCACGGTCCAGGTAACAGGCTCTATGGGGAGGTCACAGTCACATCTCCGCAGCCTGTGCCGTGCTGAAACGTGGGTTTGTACACAACGAAGCATGCCTGTGCTTGCTTGCATCAATATGCTGGCCTTCTCCCTGTGCTCCTCTGCTTGACAGCATCCCTCAGCCCATCTGTGATGGGGCAAAGGAAGGGGAAACAGAGAAAACGTGTTTCCAAAGTTCATGTCAATAGAAAGGAAGGAAGAATCCCTGTGTACGAGGAGCAGAGTCTTCTCCTCTTGCAGCTGCCTGGTATATGACACATGTAGTTACCAAAGAGACACCTTCTAGCATGGGATAATGAGAGAAAGAGAGGCATACTGGGGCATAAAAGCGAAGACCATGTTCAGCACTGTATTATGCCGTATAAATGGTTTGTGAGTCACCTTGCCTAGTTGGTTTGCATTTTGCCACTATGAGGATGGGGGGGGAGAGGAAGAAATTTCTTGATTCTTCTCTAGAATGGAATTTAAAGTGTGTGTTGTTAGTTCTTTATGCTCTCATTATTATTTATACTGTAGTTTATACTGGAGGTAAGGTCCACATACTATGTCTAGTCTCAAATAAAACTTAAAAAAAAACAGAAGGGTTGAAATTGTTCTGCACCTGTGAAGGGGTTGATGGACATACTGTGAGCAGTGAGGTAGAATACCCTTCCTCTGTCAGCCAGAGGTCAGGAAACCATGCCAGAGCTCTCCTCCAGCAGAGACAGCTTCAGGCTTTTTTCAGACCGACTGCTGCCCCGACCTGCAGTGTTCTCACAGGGACTCCCATGTCTCAGGCAAGCTCTGTTTTGCACAGCATCTGAGGCTGCGTTCAGCTCTCTGGTTAAAATCCTGGCAGCTCATGCTTGACATCAACAGGGATGTGGTAGAAGAATTCAGCTTTTTTGGATGACTGTAAATGAAACAGATTTACATTCAGTGTCAGCACCCTTGAGTAGGGGAAGTCATTAGTGAAAGGAGTGACTTTTTCTTTATAGAACAGGCTGGAACAATAATATTTTTGGTTTTTTATTTACCAAGAAAACTGCTGCAGATGGGAAGCGACAGGAGATCATTGTATTGGACTCGAAACGAAGCAACGCTATTAATATTGGCTTGACTGTGTTGCCCCCTCCTCGGACTATCAAGACTGCTATTTTGAACTTTGATGAATATGCCTTAAACAAGGAAGGAATAGAGGTAAGAAAGAGTAGTTGATGTCTTCAAGTCTGCATTTTCAATGTTTCCTTTTTTTTCAGTGTTGCACATGGTACAGGCCAGACTTTTCCTGGAACAAAAAAAAAGGGGGATGTATTATATCATGACTGAGAGTGTAAACTCATCAAATCAATGTAATGTGCTCAGAAGCATGTACGATTCACCTGAGGTTGGGCATGCTCAGTGAACATCGATTTCTCTGCTTCGTTTGTGTCTAAGTTTCAGTAACGGTGGTGGTAATTCCTGTCAGGATTTTCAGAGCATTATCTTTACCTCTGGAGCTTGGCTGAAATAATGTGAGCAGCAAGAACAGGCAGTGAGTTACTGGGGCTGATGCAACTGGTACAGGGTTTAATAAAGTTCATGCCCAGTTAGCTGCTGGACTCACTGTAGATTGTATATCTAATGGAAAACAAATAAGGTGACTAGTTCTGCTCAAAATAGCATTTCTGTGTTACTGTTGTTTGAAGAAAAGCAGTTGGTATAAAGATTACAGATGATGTAATTTTTACCGTTACATGTTTGACTCGCAGATATTCCTACCAAGATCCAAGATGAACTCTGTTTATTGTTTTTTTATCAAAACATTTTTCTTCTATGAAGTGTAAAAGAAGCTACTGCTGCCTCTGGCTTTTTTCATTGCAGTTGTATTCATTTCTCTTTTTTTTTTTTTTAAGAAGCCTGTATCATCTAGTAAGAGTAATCTGCACACTACAAATCTCAGCCAGTGACTGAGTTGCAGAGGTCGTGTATTGATTCACAGTCACCTTTCAGTGGTTTGGCACTGTGTTTTGTGATTTCCCCCTTTCCACCTTCACTGTGCTGACTACAGAAGAAAATGAGAAAAGCTGGCTGGAATGGAAATGGAGTTGCCAATAGTTACATGCAAAAGAAATACTTAAGGCGAAAGATAGTTCTAGCTAGAGGCAAGGCCTGCTTTATCCCTACTAGAATATAGTTTCTTCCCAAAGCTATATTACTTCTTTGCTGTATACATACCTTACTCAAATTTATGAAGTTGACCAAGTTCACAAGGCCAAGTGCAAGGTTGTCTTGCACGTGGGTCGGGGCAATCCCAAACACAAGTACAGGCTGGGTAGACAATGGCTCGAGAGCAGCCCTGAGAAGGACTTGGGGTTACTGGTGGATGAGAAGCTCAACATGAGCCAGCAATGTGCACTTGCAGCCCAGAAAGCCAACTGTATCCTGGGCTGCATCAAGAGAAGCGTGGCCAGCAGGTCGAGGGATGTGATTCTGCCCCTTTACTCTGCTCTCATGAGACCCCACCTGGAGTACTGCATCCAGCTCTGGGGCCCCCAACATTAGAAGGACATGAATGTGTTGGAGCGGGTCCAGAGGAGGGCCACAAAGATGATCAGAGGGCTGGAGTACCTCTCCTACGAGGACAGGCTGAGGGAGTTGGGGCTGTTCAGCCTGGAGAAGAGAAGGCTCTGGGGTGACCTTATAGCAGCCTTCCAGTACCTGAAGGGGGCCTACAGGAAGGACGGAGAGGGACTTTTCACAAGGGCGTGTAGTGATAGGGTGAGGGGGAATGGCTGTAAACTAAAAGTTGTTCAAGGCCAGGGTGGATGGAGCTCTGAGCAACCTGGTCTAGTGGAAGGTGTCCCTGCTCATGGCAGTGGGGCTTTTCATGACCCAGCCCATGTACCCACCACTGCAGTTTGCAGGACTAAGCTTTAAAGTGTTGGAGAGAAGTACCTCTCCAGCCAAGCCCAATTCACAGCCCACCAGTTAGATCTCAGTGCTGTAGGCAGTGTTTCCATACAAAGTGCAACAGAAAATGGCTGATAAGGAAGAACACATCTTGGTTGTCTTCCATGTATCATCTCCTTACAATTGTGTCCTTCTCTGGCACGCTTAACAGAAGTTCAGCTGCTCGCACAGCTCACCTTTTTCAGTGCCAACATTTGTAGCCGGGCTGCCCATCTGCCAACCACCTGTGGCGTCCACAGTAGTGAGTGCCTTGTACCACCACACCCTCCTTTGGGTGGCCTTTCCATTAGCTGCCAGAAACCCATAATTTAGTTTAAAGTATATGTGCAGGTAGTTTTCAAACTGAAGAATTCAGAAACCAGGAAATGATACGCTGTTGATATACTTGCCCATTGCTAAAGAAAATGGGATTTCTGAGTTCTGTGTCCACAGCTTGAAGCTAAGGATGTGAGTAATCCTGATGTGGTCATTCAGATATTTAAAATCAAGAGAAAGGATAAGTGGGGCAGAGCCCGGGTATTTGGCACATTGAGGAATGAAGCTTTTATTGGTCGGGAAGGATGATGTTCATAGAGAAAAGAGCTTTTCTTTCTCGTTGTTTCATATTTATTTACTTCTTATCAGGTAAAACCCTTCACTGAATTCGTATTTCCTTCCCCAACCCCCAATTTACAGATTTTTCTTAAAGCACATGGTTATGAGTCAGACAGACGTTTATAGCAAGATAGTGCGCTGGAGTAAGCTATGCAGAATTGGCCAAGAGGTGCACAGATTGATACAGAAATGCATCATTGTGAGTCCCACTGTTTCCAGCAGAGCCCTGCCTCAGTTTTCCAGCCCCGTTGATCTATAGGGTAGACAAGCTTTGTTTCCTGTTTCTCGTCTCCTTTGTATCCATCATTGGCTTTAGCCTTAGAGTTAACTTAGGGGGAACAGGGCTTGTCTTTTCAGTCTAGATTTTTAGAAAGTTTTCTGGTTCATATCTACAGTTCCTAAATATTAGGAAATAATCGGTAGTGATGGTGAATGAATCAGTACTAGTGCAAGCATCAGCTTCATTTATATAAAAATGCAGAGAACAAAGCAATTTATAAACTTTATAGCTATTCTAAGGATTGAATGAGGTAGGACTGGTATGGAAAAAAATATGCATTTGGTCTAATTAAAAAACTGCATCACAATGGGTACTCAAAAGCCTTTCTGCATAGTTAATTGTCTACACGAGATGTCATGGCTAATAAGCAGAAGAGAGAGATGTAAGGAGACCGGGAGAAGAGATGTGAAGTCTGTGGTGAGGACATAACATTCACTGCTAAAATTTCAGAGAAGCTTTAATTTAGGATCATCTTCAGCTTTTAGCGGATCCAACATGGAGCAGGGCACTAACAGGGTAAGAAGTCACCTTGAGCTATCTGCTGCGTTGGCTGCGAGCTCTGTGCTATGTCCCTCGCTCAGGAGTGTCGTCACTGTCGTGTTAGCATGCATGTGGCTTTAGTTCTGCACCTTGGTGGATAAGTTCAGGTTAAATGGTAGTTGAATTAGTGATTACTTTAAGGACAATGGACTAAAGCAGTGCTGACAGTAGTGCTAGGAACAAGGAAGGGATGCAGTGGGGTGCAGGCTACAAGCTAGTGATAGCCCAACTCCTCATCAAGTTCATAGTGACCCAGTAAACCCTCCGCTACTGTCCTTCATTCTGCTGAATGCTCCTTTGCTTGTGCCATCAAACTCTTGTTAGGAATCCATGCATTGCTTTTTAACTTCAAATATGTAACTAAGATAGGAGGAAAAATTCTTCAAGTATTTTGCAGCCCTCTATACCTAAGTATGTTGTGTGTTTTAGGCTGTGTGGTTGAAGTGGTTAGGTACCCCTGAGCTGTGAAAAAGGGCAGAAAATGGGGCATGGTGCTAGAAAGGCAGATGTGATGCATTTAGTAAGCAGAGCAGGCACTGTTAGAAACCAGTTTTCAAAGGAAGGCACAATGTGTGTCTGCAAGTATGCATCAAGCCAACTAAAAAAATTTTTGCCACCTTACATTTGCCAAAGTGTTTTCCTTTCTTTGAAAGCTTGGCATTCGTTGTGTTGAAACGACTTGGAGCTCGCTGCAGGATAAAGACCTGCCTGCTTAGCGTGGATGAGGGCTTTCTGTGAGCTAAATGAGGCGAGCTTAAAACCCTGGCACCTAATTTTAATGACGTGTATCATGGGCAGCTGCAAGAATAGAGTCCACCACACCAGTCCTTGGTGCTTGTCTTTAGTAAAGGAAATGAGTGAGTCCCTCTGTAAAGTGATACTCAGTAAGGGAACGTGGATCAAAATCAAATTATACCAAAGAACATGATTCACTTAGCAGAGTGAAACTGGGATAATGCTGTGAGAAAATTAAGGTGGGTTGCTTTGTGCTTTACAATATAGCTTTGTGATGCCCTGCAATGTTGCATTGCATTGGTAGATACAGCTTTTAGTAAAACTATTTGAAATGAAAAAACTCTCTGGGTGTGCTAGGCCCTCCATGCCCACATTTGCTAAGTACATGTGAAGTCCATGCATCTGGAGTGGCTAGGTCGCCCTGAGATGTAAAAAGGGGTAAGAAATGAGAGCCTGGTGTTCAAAAGGCAAACACGAAATTTGATTTTCGGAAACGATCAAGGTATTTAAGTTTTTGTTCTTGTAGTTGCCGCAGTACATTGGCATTTGCAGTTTCCCATTTGTTTAGCTAATGCTTTGTAAAAGTGTGATGGGATGTTTCAAATTACGCTAGCTTGCATGACCTGAAAGAACAGCTCTTTTCACAAGTCTAGACAGAAGAGAGAATGGGCTCAATGGTGCCTTGCTGGCTGTACACCCACATTCAGTGTATCGCTGCCCTAACGAGTTTCGGGCTTTATTTAAAGAAAAAGAGCTACACTTTCACTCCTTACAGCAAACCAAAACATCTTCTACAGTTTCTGTGACCAGCAATGGCAAGTTCATGTATTTCAGCAGAGAACTGAGGAAGTGGAGCAGTCTGACCGAGGCAGCAGCTGTCAATTCCTGGTTTACAGGGGTGGCTATCAGGTGTGTTAGATGTAGCCTCTTCTCAGAATTGATCATTTTTGGAAGAGATGACGTAAAATTAGTGCTGGTGGCCTCACTTACTTTGGAGACCTAACCTTCCTGTGCTTTTAGATTTCATTAGGGTTTCTGCAGATAATGCAAACGCCAATGCGTCTCATTAGTAGCTGCCTGGAAAGCTGAAGTGTGAGACCCTTTTTGGAGCGAAGTCATCTGCCGAGGCCTGTCAAATAGCTGGTGATGTACCCACTAACATGTACTCGGTTATGCAGCTTATGAATTTGTGGGCCTTGAGCCACAGAAAGCTTTGGACCCGACAGCAACGAAATATTTAGTTTACTGATTTTTTTCAGGCTCCTGTTCACCTGGCAAAATCAGCTGAAACCAAATATGAAAGCCAAGGCACCCCTGCCACCTTATCATCACTGAGAAGTCCCATTATCTCTTGAAAGAGATAACTTAAGCACCAAATTTCTGCAGAGGCTCCAGGCTGTTCACAGTCTCTGGTCAGATGTTTCCTTGAGTCCCATACTGAGACCCTCAGGCAAGTGGGAGTTATAAATCTTGCACCGTGAGCCGTGTAAGGCTTTCCTCTTAGTAACTTTTGGAGATCATACATCAGGATGGCTGAGATCAGGAAATACACGGTTTGATCCCTTCCCTGAAAGCTCGAGCAAGTGGATGGGTCCAGCAGTACAGGAGCAGAATAATTAGGAGCCATTATCTCATCCAAACAGGATCTCCAAAAATGACTTCTTTTGCTCCATGAGATTTGTGCGCTGGTTTTCCTCAGAATGTTAATCTCTGGCCCAAACAGTTGTGTGAGAATGCATGGAGGTGAAATACGTGTATCACACAGAGGATATGAGCACAGGGTTTGTTGGTAACCAGTTCTTCTTTAATTGACCTGAAGAGTGGCATACTAGGGAGGGCATTAGGAATTAATGATTAGGTTCAAAGCTATTTGTGATTTAATGGTCACATCAGGTGCCAGTAACCTTCTCCCCTGCTGTGTTTTTATGCTACTTTTACTGTCGGCTTAAAATAATAAGAATAATAATAAACTGGCAGATGGTGTACTCATCAGTTTCCAGCACTGAACAAATGGCGCAAATTAGTCATAGAGTAGAAAGAAAGAATAAGACCGTTTTACCACTTGCTCAGGGGCACACCAAGGATGGTGACCAGCAGGATCACAGTTATTTGCCTGAGCAGATTAGAAGTGCTGTGGAGTAAGTCGTTGCCCCCTGGGCGGTGTGAGACCTGCCAGGAGCTCTGGTCCCATCGAGGCAGGGCTTTCAGCGACAGGGGCGATCCTCAGCACCTGGCACCACCAGCAGAGGCTCTTCCACTTGGCATTCTCCGTCTCACATACTACGGTACACAGCACAGCAGCCTTGCAGTACTTGGACTTGAATGCTTTTTGTCAGCTCCATCTGGCTTGTGTTGTTTATGTAAAGCTCAAGGAGGAGGAGAGTCCCTTTGGAAATAAGGCTTGGTGTTTCATTGCCCTCTTTAAAATGCCCGAAAGCAGTGCAAAATCTCTGGAGTGAAGGCCCTGCACCACCACAAAATGCTTGTGGGATCCCTGGGCAGCTGCCAAAAGCCCTAGTTATTTGTAACAGGCAATTGTGAATACTGCTGAAGTGTTAGCCTTCAGAAATGCAGCAGAAGCGTTTTCACATCCATCATATGGCTACTGCTAAACTCTCCATGTATGGATGTTCATGATCCTGTTTTCGAGCTGCCCTGGCTCAGCTGAGGTGGTGTTGGCTGCTTCTTGTCATTGAAGAGAGGAGTAGGCACTAGGAGGCCTGACTTCTTCACTCTGCGAAACACCTCTTCTTATGAGTTTTAGACTCAGTCTCTCTTTTGTATGAACTTTTTTAGATGAGTTTTGGTTAAGCACTGAGAAATGCCCTGAAGCTGCTGCTTACAAATCTCTAGTTTGATGTTAGGTATGACCTAAGTTACAGATTTCAGCATGTGTGGATGGATAGCACATCTCAAAATCCATACACAAATGCTATCAATCAGAACACGTGTACGTCAGAATATTTTCCTGTCAGTCATTGACAGGGGAAGGAAAAGCGCCAGTGTGTACTGAGGGATGTTCCTCCTCTTCTTTTTACCTTAGCATATTAGTTTATCAAGGTAGAAGCTTGCAGCGTCCACACAAGGAGGCTTTTTTTAAAAACTGAAAGACAGAGCCAACATTAACAGAAACAAATGCTGGTGTATTTATATTTATGGAAGTCATCATATGGAGATGGACAGGAATACAAATGCTGTGGCTGAAATTAAAGAAGTCCCAGTTCAACAAATTGAACATTGTTTGCTTGCTTAACTCTTGTTCTTTGCCTGATTGACCGTAAAAAGTTGCTTGCTCTCCATGCTTAGCTCCAGCGCTGTAGAAGGAGCCAGATGAGTTGTCAGTACTGGAAGGGGGCACTTGTGTTACTTTGATGAATTGGCTATGTCCAGTGCTGGAACAAGGCTGTGGTTTGGATTGGCAGGTCTGATAGCTCTTTGGCTGTATTTTTGTTATTCCCTCCTCCCCTCCAAAACAGCCTCTATCATTATAGAAGGCTACAGAAAAAACATGTCATTCCTCAGAGGAATAAATATAAATTGTGTTGAAAATCTACTGCTTTGTTTTAATGAGGCATTGATCAGCAGGGTAAAGACCTCAGCTTATCTCATGCCTTTACGCTGTTTTGCTTTTCTTTTTCATTTTAAAAATGCATTTGTTATGTTAAAAATTAATGAGGAAGCAATACCTTAGAGAGCAATACTTTGAGAAGAAGTTCACATGTAAACAAGCATGTAAAATCCAAGAATTAAAGGGAAAATATAAATGTGTTTGAGCCATACTGACAGCAGAAACTGAAAATACTGAGATCCTTTTTCATCAATATTTTAGACTTTCCACATCAAAAGAGAAAATGGCCATATGTTATGCAATGCATAATTTGACTTTAAATTCAATGAGTATTCCTTGGGAAGCTTTTGGGAGTGACCTAATAGGCTGCAATAGTTGTCATGTTTCATAAAAAACAAAACAGACTGAACAAAAAATAATAAATGATGAGAACAGCAAGGGACAGGAGTCCTCGAGTTATTTCTGCATACCAGCCAGTGCACTGGAAGACTCGTAGATGTTGAGGCTAAAAGGGACCTGCCATCTAGTCTGACCTCGTGTAAATCGCAGGCCAAAAGTTTTCACTCATTCTACCCTCACTTCCATGTGTTACTTGCAGAAAGGTGGCCAGTTTTGATTTAAAGCTATGAAAACTGAGGAGAGCAGTCCTAACCAGGTGCCCTGTCTTTCTTCAGCATTTGATCTAATGATTAACTACATCCACTGACTACAAATATTTAAAAATGCGTATTAATACAGATGTGTTTTTCAGCTGCGGGTGTTCGAGATGTTTCGCTCTCTCGTGAAGTGGGTTAGAGCTTGGTGGTTACAGTGCCGTCCCAATTTACCAGCCAGTGACTCAGGACTCCTGCCGTAACTGCTGAGACGTCACTCGGTGTCACAGGAGCTCGGGCGAAGTCCCCGTGAAGCTCGTTGCAGGAGCCTGTTCTGCAGAAGCACTGGCTGCAGAAGGGTCCCCGTGACACTACCCCAGCCCTTGTGCACCTCTCGGCCCTGCCGCTGACACTGGCCTTTTGTCTCCCTTCACAGAAAATCCTGACCATGATCCCGACCGAGGAGGAGAAGCAGAAGATCCAGGAGGCGCAGCTGGCTAACCCCGATGTCCCCCTGGGCAGCGCTGAGCAGTTCCTTCTCACCCTCTCCTCCATCAGTGAACTCTCTGCCAGGCTCCAGCTCTGGGCTTTCAAGATGGACTACGAGATAGTGGAAAAGGTGAGAAGGAGAAAGCGGGGAGCAGGAGTGGAGACTTTTCCAAGGCTTTACTTGATCTTTCGCTGACCTTGTTATTACATGAGCATATATTTTGAGGAGACGGTAAACGGATCGCTTTTGTTTTGGTGGCCAACCAGGAAACAGCTAAAATGATCCTTCATCATCTGTTCCTTCTACGAAAGAAAATTAGAGATTACATCTTCCTTCCTTTAATTAGTCAGTAATGATACTGGAACAAAGAAGAGGGCTAAATCCTTACCACATCTTCTCCAGATGTTGTTATTCAGGAAATTCTTACTTCAGAGCAGTAAGAATTTTCCTTTGGATAAAGATTGAATGAGGATGACAGTATTCAACCTTGCATTGTAAAAGGAGAGTATTACATCCATTTAAACTAAGGAAAACACCATCCATTAAAGTTATTTCTGTTTATAACTCTTTCAAAGTTATAAACAAGAGATAAGACATCCTTCAGGGGTGTTCTTTTCAATTCAGTCCCAGACAGTTGCTGCCACCTTCTTCATGGATGACATTTACTCAGAGAACACTATGGTTGAGTTTGCTGTCATGAATGATGAATCACAGATGAAATTTCAAAATGATAGCGTATAGTTTCAGTGCATAGGTGAAGCAGAATGAAACTGTGTAGACGATTTCAGCTGCCTGCTGACTTTCACAAGCTCTTTCAGGAATCTCAGCACAGGAACCTTCCTCTGGCTGCACCTCTGGTGCATGCCCCATGCGTTGCTCTTCAGGAAGCTCTCTCCCGTATATATTAATTCTGTATGTGTATCTGTACACATATGTACATATATTATACATATGTATAATATCCATATGTACATATGTACACATATGTACATATACATCATACTTTGTGTGATACAGAGTCTGAGAAGTGGGACGTGCTTCTGAAAATGCCGTATGTTTGCCTAGCTGTGGTTATTTAGCAAACTATGCAATAGTGAATTGATTTGCAGGTGATGCTGTCAAGATTACGTCTGCTTTATTTGCTTAGTTTTTAGGAAATGCAATCACACTAACATTCAGGATTTTTTAATTGTGACATTTTAGTCTTAGACATTTACATTTCTGACTTGTAAAACATAAAATACTTGTATCTAGCCTGAGTACTTTTTCGCCAGTTGGTTTTTTTTTCCACTCTGGTACAGCTATTTGTTCTGCTTTCATGTTACCACAAGGCTAAATTGTTCCTTTCATGTAAGCTGAGTTAGCTGTAGCTGTTAATCTGTGCACATGCCTAGAATTTCTAGCTTCATCTCAATCAAAAAGTAACATATGAAGCACTGCTAGAAGCTAAAGAAAATCTCATAGTTTTCCTGTTGCTGATCCTGTAGTGCTTATGCCACAAAGTTTATGAATTGCCATCCATGTAGAACGGATGCTAGCATAAAATGTCTCAAATACCTAAATTATTCAAAGAAGCAATATCTGGAGTGAAGATAGGACCAATATTTTTATCCCTGTTGAAAGGTCGATAGGCATAAGTACAGTATTAGGATAAAATGGTACAGGAAATAATATATGATGACTGATAAAATAAGAGGAGCATGTGGTAAGAAGCCTAGCAGATGAGCATAGGTATGACAGACAGCTTGGGTCTTAGCTGGGTGAACAGGAAGATACGAGACCAGACATCAAAGGTACAAGAGAGAGCAAGCAGCTGGGCCTTTCCAGTAACAAAAGGCTAAAGTCAAAGCTTAAGTTCCAGGTAACCAATAAACATAAGTTTACTTAGATTGCAGTAAGATACCATGAGGTTATTCAATTAAAGATGAAGTAGTTTGCAGTAACAACTGTGATAATAAAAGAGTCCCATGACCTGCTAACTTTCTTCTGTTCTTGAAACTATGTTTTTGCAGAAGATCCATCTGGAAATGGGCAAACCCTTTGTGAAACTTAGGTGCCAAATCACTTACTGTCGCAGGCCAGACTGGATTAAATGCTAATGTGGCAAATTACGTTTTGGTCATCTCAAAGTTCCCATCCTGACCAAGTTTTTACCCCTCTCAGGAAAGCATGCACGTGAACTCGTATAGGTGCAGTCAGCTAAACTTGTTACCAGTATAGCAGGGTGGTAACAGCGCGTAAGCCAGATCAGCCGTACCACACACGTGTGCTACGTTCTTCCTGTCCCGGGACTGTTGGACTCATTGCACACGTGTGGTTGAGTTCAGTTGTGCATGCATGTCAAACATTTATCTGGAATTATCAGATGTCTCGCAGCCAGAAATTCGGGACAAATCCTCAAGTTTCGTGCAAGTGTAATTTCTGGGTGAAAAATAGAAAAAATGGTAAATAAGGATACATGGTAGCTAAGGATATGAGGTAGCTCTGCATTATGTATCTGCCCTCTTTAGGTAGATGGTGAGTTTTATAGGGAGCAAGGAAGGATATTTCGTCTGTTAGTACAGCATCTAGCACTTTGATTTTTATTGGTTTTTAATGCTACAATAAAATAAAAAATAAAGAGTAATTACATATTGCAGTATATGCAAAAAAGTCTAAGCTTGGACAACTTGCATGTAAATAGCTAAGTGAAGGGCTACGGTACGGCCTGCCTGGAATCCTTTTATGCTACCTTTTTATTCACCTTCACAATGTTTTAAATAAACATTTTAGGAATGATATTTTAACAAATTGCAGACTGATGCAAGTAAAATAGTTCAAAAGCCTGTCTTTACAGCAGATGCAGAGCAGTTTGATTCATCCCCATGATGCAACAAAACTAACTGAATCAACCCTGACTTGTAAAGCAATTCAAAGAATTCTGTGCAGCAGTTTATTGCTTTTAGTTTAACTTGATAAAGTCTTGCATTATTTAGCACCTCTCCTGTGATGTATAAATTACTTTGTGCACTATGCCATCTCTTAATTTGTCTCGAATTTGCCATATTCTTTTCTTTTCAAGAGATTGATTGCTCTGTGGTGACTAGAAATGTATGTTTTCTTCACCTTTGTGCTCTTATTTATGGTAAAATACCACGACAACTGTTGAATGACCCGTTGTAGTTCTCCAAGAAAGGGTTCTCAGTTGCCTCTTGGTCTAAAATAGCAGCTTAATTTTGGCTTCTTGGCTCATAAAGAGTGTAATAATTTGGGAAAAGAATGCTGCTCACAGATGCTTAGGATGGCATTTGGAGATAGAAATAACATGAACTGTTACTGTGCATACAAAATAAATAGCCTTGGGCCTCACACACAGCCACAGAAATAAACCCCATCAACTCAATTACCCTCACGCTCTTC